TTTAAGGCCCTTCTCACCTCCTGGGATGGTCCACACTCTGTCTGTGGTGTGTGTTTCTCTCTAAATAAATCCACTTCTTACCCATCACTTTGTCTCTCACTGAATTCTTTCTGAGATGAGACAACAACAACAAAACAACAACAACAAAAAAAAACAAGAACAAAAGCTTTTTTTAAAAAAGGAGTTTTAAAATCTGTGGGTAGAAATATTAACCCTTAGATGTTAATGATTTGAAAGCACATGCTCTTTTTTTTTTTTTAATCACACTCTCTTAAAAAGCAATACAGGACTTATATTCACATATGATCTCCCCTCTCTCTATATATCCATACAGAAAAATATTTTGCTCTAGCTATACTCAGTATCAGGGCTTCTCTGGTGGCTCAGAAGGTAAAGAATCTGCCTGTAATTCAGGAGACCCAGGTTTGATCCCTGAGTTGGGAAGATCCCCTGAAAGAGGGCATGATAACCTACTCCAGTATTCTTGCCTGAGAATCCCACAAACAGAGGAGTCTGGTGGGCTACAGTCCATGGGGTCACAAAGAGTCAGACACAACTGAGTGACTAACACACTTTGTACTCAAGTTTACTACCTTGAGAGATTCTCTGTTTCTTTATGGTATTCATTATATTACCCTACTGATGTTCAACCTTGGCTTCAAATGGTCTCTCCACCAAACCCCTCCAGTGCTTTTTGCAGGTGAAGAGTTATTTTTGTACATTGTCATTTAGTTGCTCAGTTGTGTTTGACTCTTTGGCGACCCCATGGACTGTAGCCACCAGACTCCTCTGTCTATGGGATTCTCCAGGCAAGAATATGGAAGTGGGTTGCCATTTCCTCCTCCAATTTTTGTACATTATATGACAGTATATGGTATTGCTCTTTCCTGCCTGGTTTCTTTGATGCAATGTAATATGCAAGAACATCAGTGTTGTTGCTTGTGATTGTAGGTTGTCAAATCTTGCAAGTGTGTAGGATTTCATTATATGAATACTCTATACTTTATGTATCTGCTCTACCATTGGTGGACATTTGGGTAATTTCCAGCTTTTGTCCATTTTGAATGCTATGGATGTTCTAGTCCATGCCTTTTGGAGATAATATGTACATATTTCTGTTAGGTACATACCTAGGAGTGAAACAGATGGATTGTAAGATTTGCCTATATTCTGGCTAAGTGTATATATAGAATATATTTTTAAATTAACACCAGAGCACGTGACTCACCTTTTGAAACCCTCACTGACTTGCTTTTATAGTGTTTTTTTTTTAAAGTGAAAACAAATAACATGCTTTTCCAAACCTAGCATTAAAATCAATACTTAATTTTTAACACAGTCTTAAATTCTAAATGCATACTTCTGAATATCTAAACTGTGTGTTAAGCAGATGAATCCATTCTACTGACATTTCAGATCTTTAAAAACCAACAATCTATTAATATAGCCATTACTCTAGGGCACATTTGGATAGAGTTCTTACAGATCTTAGATAATTTTTAAGCTCATTTGAAGAACGCCAATCATTAACAATCATGTTTGCATTTTATTCATAAATGTGGATATAATTTATGAAAAATATTTTCTTTAAAAATGAATGTGTATTAATTTCATTGTTAGAGTAGGCTTTATTCCAATCTCTGTTTAAAACACACACTATTTTCACAATATTGAAATCTACTTTTAGGTCATCTGTACTATCGTTGCTACAAGATATTTTTTTGAATTATCAGAATTATTTTCCTCAAAGAGAAAAATGATCAAATTCTGCTCTATACATCCTTTTTTTTTTACATCCTTTTTAAAAACATTAGTTAATTAATTAATTTTTGACTGGGCTGGGTCTTCCTTTCTGCCCATGGGTTTCCTCCAGCTGCAGTGAGCAGAGACTCCTCTTCCTTGCAGTGCTCCAGCTTCTCATTCTGGTGCCTTCTCTTGTTTCAGAGCACAGGTTCCAGGTGCATGGGCTTCAGTAGTTGTGGCTCACAGGCTTAGCTGCCCCTCAGCAGGTGGAATCTTAGTTTCCCGACCGGGGCTCAAACCCATGTCCCCTGCATTGGCAGGTGGATTCTTAACCACTGGACTGCCAGGGAAGTCCCCACTGCATACATCTTACTCAGGTTTTACATCTAACACACTCAGCTATGCAGTGCCTGACTATAGGATCCTGTGTAATTTGTTCTCTGCACTCAGTCTTTTTCTCCCATTTACATATTTGTCTGAATGCTTTTCCCTCTCTTTTGAATATTTTTTTTTTTGTCCAATTCCCTGCCTGGCATACCTACAGCCAGACAACTCAGCTCCTAGTAGATAGCCCCTTCTCATTCTGCAAATGTCACTTTTGGGGGGAAGCTTCTTTAGATTGCAATTACTTATGTTTAGTACTTCCATTTTATTTTTGCTTCTTCTACCAATTTTTTTTCATAGCACTCATGGCAAATTTGAAACTCTACACTTATTTTTCTTTTTCGCTCATCTGTGTCTTCTTCTAGCCTTGGGGTACTTAAAAAAATACGTATGTGTGTACTCTGCTCCCAGATATCACAGTATAATTAGTTTGGTGGGGAATCCTGGCGTTAAAAAAAAAACAAAAAACAAAAAACCTCTCAAGTTAATTAATGTGTCACATGCACAGCATTATAAATACTGGAGGTATGATATAAACAATTTTTAGTGATTGATGTATGCAATTCAAGGGGCTTCCCACGTGGTGCAGTGGTAAAGAATCTGCCAGCTAATTCAGGAGATGCAAGACTTGAGTTAGATCTCTGGGTTGGGAAGATCCCCTGGAGTAGGAAATGGCAACCCACTCCAGTATTCTTGCTTGGAAGATTCCATGGACAAAGGGCCCATGCATCCATGGAGTTGCAAAGAGTTGGACATGACTGAGTGAACAGCGTACCAGCAGTCCAAAATACTTGGACCCCACTGGGATGGCCCAAACAATACCTCATTTTATGTAGGTATTATAGGGACCAGTGTTACACAGAATCTCTGAATAAAGTTCACCGTTACACAACTGGTTACTCCTATAGCTAAGATGATTCCAATTTTCAATCCTATTGCTTTTCCACTGTGTTGCAAACTCTGAGTGTTTCATATTCTAGTTATCTGTGCATGTCTCCCTGAATTGTAAGAGCTTGGACTGTGTCTACTTCATAATTTCACTCTTCTTAGAACCTGTTGCATGTAATCCTCTGCTTAGCAGACTGTCAATAAATGTGTTAAGAGCAAATAATATGACAATGAAAATCACTTACGTGACACCTATATAATGTACTTCTCTGAGCTGGTTTTGACACTGTATACCTTGGGCATTGATATTTCATTATTTCAGAATCTTTTTCTTTGTACAATAAAGTGTTAAATTAGTTTTAAGAGTCTTGAAGTCAAAGAGGCTTGAGGATGTTTGAAAGTACGGTACCGTGTCTGGAGTATTAAATGTCAGTAGCAAGAGGGATTATCTTGGTCCATGGTTGAACTATTTTTAGCCACATTATTGGGCAGTGTCAGAGAATAAAGAATCTCCTTAATCAGACTTGTCATTTCAATAACTACACATACCATGAATTTAGGGACATCATTTGACTCACTGTATTTTGACTTAAATTAAAATGAAAAAAAATCATTGTATAGTTAAGTAGTTTCTGATGATTTGCATTTTGTAAAAAAGGCAAAATGAAACAATAGTTAAACACTGAAGCTACTATCTTAAATTAATGGGGTAGTTCTGGCTTTAAGAATTTTGGTCTGGGCTCTTTCCAAACAGAATGAAAATAAAATTCAAGGAATTTTGTGGTTGGAAATATATGGTAAACACCTTCTCTTAGCTGGTCTGGAGGTTAGGTTTCTAAGAAGTAAAGTACTTGGTAATTTTTTCTCTGGCAAGATTAAATTCCATTAGAAAACAGAAGGTTAGGGGAAAACAACTAAAATAGCATTATAAGTTTTTCTTTAATGTCAATTACATCACAATAAAATTATTTTAAAGGAAAACACAATTAATAAAAAAAATACAAAAGGAACCCATTTCATTGATATAACAGTCTGCTCCAGAATCATCCTCTTTAATTGATCAGGAAATACTGCTCTTGGCTTGATGATCTGCTGTAGCCATAGGTTTTGTTTCATATGAAATATGCTTCATTGAAAATTTTCCAAGCTTGTCTTTGCTGGCTTGAAAGGTAAAGTCATATGCTCTTGCATTCTTGTTCTTGCAAGTCTTAGCAAAATGTTAAGCTCCTCACAAATTATTGTGGTACCCGAGGGCATGCTTTCCAGGCTTGATCTGGCCATTTTTCTGGAGAGTTAAGTAGAGACAAATCTTTCTGCACTTCTACTGAGCCTTGGCCTCTTGAGAAGCAAGGATTGGGGGCAGGGGTAAGCATGTGCCAGGAAGAACTTCAAACCCATGGAATAATAATAGAAACCTGACTGTCCCAAAACCACTGCTGAAAAGAGTTATAGGATCTTGACATGTCACCCTTTCCACTCTTAAGGTCCGTGAGAGCTGTGGTTTTTCCTCTTTACACTCCTAGCTCTTGTTAGAATGTTAAGTGACTATCAGTGCTTATTATGCAATTGTTGAATGAATTATGCATGTGACATTGGAAGAGTATTAAAAAGGAATAGCCCCTTACTTGTCTCTTGCACCTTTGCAAATTACCTTTTCTCTGTAATTTTTGCAATCCCCCTCAATAAGCAGATCAAGTCAGAAAGCAAATTAATTTTTGCTTCTCATTGTCAGTGAGAATTTACTCTGAAAGTAGTTTATCCACTGAATGAAATTTAGGGCACGTCCCTTAACTTCTCTCGTCACACTCAGGGAATAAAATCGGTCAGTAATTAAAATGCCCAGTTGCATTAACAGTTAAACTTCAATTCTAACTCCACTAGAAGGGAAGTGGCAGGAGACGGGGAGAGAGGAAGAGTCTGGATTCTGATCCGGTGCTAGTTTTGGCCTGAGTTCAAAGCTTGTTCTTTTTCTTATGTTCCTTCCTCAGCTCCATCTCTTAGGATTTCTCACCAGCAGCTCCTAAGGCTCCTGGCTAATGCCTCTTTGCTCCCACCAGGCGCTTCATGGTAAATAAATTCACGTTCTCTGCCCAAGTGTCTTTCGGTAGGGCATGCAAAGCAGCCACTCCTTATTTGATTAATCCTTACTCTGTATTTTCCAGGGCGTGTACTGAATCACAAAGGACCCTACATGAGATGAATCTTCTTGTACATCCCTCTTGGCATGTGATGAAAGGAGGAGTTTGCTTGGGATTGTCCTGGTAACAAGGAACACTCCCAATCCTTGGAGCCCCTCCCTGGGAAGCAAAAGTCCTGGTTTTCGGCAGAGGGCATGGCAGACTGGGAGAAAAACACAAAAATAATGTGAGTTTGGGGGCACAACCCCCCACCCCCAAATAAGGACTGAAAACAACATAATTTCAGTGTTGAACAGATATGGACGCAGATTATCCTTCTCTTATAATTGCTGTCACATGATTTGTGGGGCAAAACAATACATTAATCATTATAGCATCACTCCAGGTGCTGACAAAGACTCTCTCCTTGACCAAATTTTAATCAGCCTCCTCTGAGCCCTCTTAACTAGTACTCAACTTTGGCTCATGAGAACTGCAGTCTCAGCACCAGTGACTTCATCTACTCCCACATTAAGAGATTTGAACAAACACAAGTCTAGTTGCTAATAGCTCAAGGTCACATCCCTAAGAGGACTCGCGCTACGTTAAGAACCTTCTTGTGAAAGCCCAGCCCTACCAGAAGGATATACTGTCTGCTCCAGCCAATATTTCCCTGTAGGAGCTTGACTTTCCTTTTCTTAGAAGTGTTTCCTTAAAAAAAGAAAAATACAAAAAGCTTGCAATTATAAATCCTTTCAATATATATTTCCAATGTGTTTTTTACAACTCAAGAGTGTCTTTCGGAAGAACCTGGGTGGGGTGGGGGGGTGGGTGTCATCCCTTTGAAATGTAATCAAGATAGGACCCCTGCCTCCCCGTGTTTGTTGGGGTAGGAGCCTAAGCTTGATAAGCTAATCACGTGGACTTTCTCCTTTCAAGCCTTCAGAGTTTTTCCCTTAGCTCATCCTAGCATTTCAGAAGCCTCCTGCCTTTTGTACTGGCAAGATTGTTTTTTCACAATTCATATTTTATCTTAAAAAGTTTTTCAGTTTTACTGAGGCATAATTGACATATAAAACTGTAAGTTATTTAGTGAACACTGTGGTGATTCTGTTCACTGATTAGTGAACACATACACATTGTGAAAGGAGTCCCCCCATGAAGTTAGTTGTCACATTCATCATGTAATAGATTTATTTTTCTATTGGTTTTTAGAATATTTAAGTTTTACTCTTAACATTTCAGTTATACAATACAACTGGCCTTTTATATCTGTGGGTTCCACAAATGAGGATAGACAATATTCAGAAAAAAGATTACAGAAAAGTTCTAAAGAGCAAAACTTGAGTTTGCATCATGGTGGTGACTATTTGCATAGCATTTATCTTGTATAAGTTATCACAGTAATCTTGAGATGACTTAGTCTTAGATTATATGCAAAGACAGTTGCCCCTTGACAGTTGAGGGCTTTAGGGGTGTCTACCCTCCATGAGTTTAAAATCCACGGTGACTTTACAGCAGGTGGCGCTAGTGGTAAAGAACCCTCTTGCCAAGGCAAGGTAGACAGAAGAGACGCTGATTTGATCCCTGGGTTGGGAAGATCCCCTGGAGAAAGGAATGGCAATCCACTCCAGTATTGTCTCCTGAAGAATCCCATGGACAGAGCAGCCTGGAGGGCGAGGTCCATGAGGTTGCACAGAGTCGGCACGACTGAAGCGACATAGCACACACTATTCTCTATTGTAGGATTACTGAACAAAATCTCTCCTACTCTTAACTGGCATCTGACCGTTTCTCTTTGACAGTGTGTAACTTAAGTGTGTTATAGTTGTATCAACAGTCCATCTTTGATTTTGGATTGACTGTGCTTTGTACTGAGATGGAGCCAGTTTAATGTTTTAAATTGGGAATATTGTGTCTGTGTTTTCCAGGGATTCAGTTCATGAAAACGGGAACCATGGCAAAGACCAATGCCACATACCCAGACATCACTGGGAGAGGGAGGAAGGAAAGAGTGGGAGGTATGGAGAGAGTAACATGGAAACATACATCACCATAGGTAAAATAGACGGCCGATGGGAATTTGGTGTGTGACTCAGGGAGCTCAAACCGGGGCTTGGTAACAACCTAGAGGGGTGGGATGAGGAGGGAGGTGGGAGAGGTGTTCAGGTGGGAGGAGGACACAGGAAAACCTATGGCTGGTGCATGTTGATGTGTGGTAGAAATCAACACAATACTGTAAAGGAATTATCCTTCAATTAAAAATGAATTAACTTTCAAAAAGAGTAACTATGCCATTTTGATGACAGAAAGATATGTAAAAGCAAATGAAGGAGTTAAGCATGCTGCACAAACAGCATACTATACAATATTTGGAAAAGAATTTCGATCTGGGCATGGTGAGGAAGGAGATGTGAAAGCTGTTAATGAAAATTCAATAAACTATCAAGTTAAGAAGAAAAAACTTTATTTGAACCAAACTGAGGACTATAACCCTGGAGACAGACTCTCAGAAGCTCTGAGAACTTTTAGAAGCTGAAAGCACAGTAATATACATTTTTGAGACTAAGAATCTTACATCAAAATGACATACTGATATTCTACATAAAGTTCACCAAGGATACGTAGCCCAGGTAAGTAGCTGCAAAGTGAGCAACAAGGTCCAATACCCCTTACACAGCTGGGAAAGAAGGTTATTCTTTTAATAGGTTACATTGCTATCATCAAAGAAAAGGGAAAAATTATCTTTAAGATGGAGGCGGCACTCCCATCTTTGAGGAGCTCTGGGTAATGTGCAATTCAGAGACATCCTACACATTAGGAAAGGAGGGAAGAGACCCAAACAAACACACGGAGAGAATTTTATGTTTAATTATTTCTTTACCTGCCTTAAAATAGAAATTCTATTTCATCAAACCACATATGGAGCTCAATTCTCACAAGTCTGGGATAACTCTGAACATACTTTGAAATCAATAAAAAGTTTTATTAATTTCTCCGAGGCACCAAAAGTAGGTGCCTTCGGCATTCTACAGGAATGAACACTTAACAGCCATCCTTGATTGTTCTATGAAAACTAGTGGAGCCACATTTCCAAAGTGGAGGTTGCAACTGAAATGTCCAATGGATGAACAAAAGGGAACTTTTTATCACAGACGTTTTGGCTCCTCACAGAGTATACTTGATTCTGTCAGATTTTACTGTAGAAATCATGGTTTCCACAGTGTATCAAGGGATGTGTTGAATCATGACTACAAACAATGTTCCTGCTAGCTCTTAGATACTTTGATTCAAGAAAAGGAGTTTCAAATCTTCTTAATCTCTTTTAAGATACCAATGAAATCACAGAAAATATAGAATAAAAGAGGTCCTTTCCTGGTGGTCCAGTGGTTAAGAATTTGCCTTGCAATGAAGGGGACTCAGGTTTGATCCCAGGTTGGTGAGCCAAGAGCCCATGTGCCATGGAGCAACTAAGCCTGAATGCCACAAGTACTGAAGCCCCATTGCTCCGGAGCCCACGTCCCGCAACTAGAGAGAGTTCATGGCCTCACTTAAAGACCCCGCTGCTGCTAAGTAACTTCAGTTGTGTCCGACTCTGTGCGACCTCATAGACGGCAGCCCACCAGGCTCCCCTGTCCATGGGATTCTCCAGGCAAGAACTCTGGAGTGGGTTGCTATTTCCTTCTCCAATGCATGAAAGTGAAAAGTGAAAGTGAAGTTGCTCAGTCGTGTCCGACTCTTAGTGACCCCATAGACTGCAGCCTACCAGGCTCCTCCGTCCATGGGATTTTCCAGGCAAGAGTACTGGAGTGGGGTGCCATTGCCTTCTTAAAGACCCTGCATGACACAACAAAAATCCTGCATGTCACAACAAGACCTGACACAGCCAGATAAATAAATAAATATGTTAAAACGTCTATAATATTGAATACCAAAAATGACATAATGATTTGGTTCATTTCCAAGGCAAATCATTCAACATCACAGTAATCCAAGTCTATGCCCCAACCACTAAAGCTGAAGAAGGTGAAGGTGAACAGTTCAATGAAGACCTACAAGACCTNTTTCCCATCAGTAGCTTTTAACAGACACTTGTTATCTGAGCACTCTAAGCCCTCCACAAAACCTTTCCTTGGAATGGGTTTAATTCAACATCAGACTTCTTCAGGGTGATGAACATGATCCCTGACAACCAGCACTTCTGGAATAGCCTCGTCAGCCCCATTAGGAACTGGAACACAACAGCCTATCCTCGTTTGTAACCCCAAGTCCCCTTGCCACTGCATCAAGTCCCAGCCCCTACTGAGACAGAGGTGCCAAGGGTGGTTCAGTCACTACTTGATTTCTGACTCTTGCAATCCCATGGGCTGTAGCTTGCCAGGATCTTCTTCGTAGGATATTCCAGGCAAGAATACTGGAGTGGGTTGCCATTTCCTTCTACAGGGGATCTTCCTGACCCAGGAATAGAACCTGGGTCTCCTACACTGAAGGTAGATTCTTTACCAGCTAAGTCCCAAGCAGCATCAGTCTTTCATCCCTCCAGCTCTCATATAACTTTTTATATAGTAAAATTTTTTGCTATATTTATTCATTCATCATCTAGATGTTTGAACCATTGTTTTCCTTCCTGATTTAACCATCTTCTTTGAAGAATTTCTGTTTTCTAAGATTTAATAATGATCCATTTCATTTCCATCTATATTTTGTTCTGTAAACTCATAGTGTGATGTCAAGAGACAAATGAGTCATTTCTTATTATTATACAGAAAATTTGTACTTCAATTTTTCTTTTTTTTTTCTCATGGATACACACACAAATGTTTTGTAATAATATAATACTTGGCTACTGAGCTTGTACTTTTAAACATTGATAAAGTCATTGGAAAAATATGAAAATTATTTGACTTTTTCACATTTATTTTGTGATTTACTCTTGCTTTATCTTGAATACCCATAAAGAATATTTTAAAATTTTCAACCATTCAATCCTCTTAATCCAAACTTGTTTTGATATAAATAGAATATATGTTTTCCTTTTTTCTTCTCCTTGCACAAACAAATGCTTTATCTTCATCACATGAAAAAGATGTGATGTGATTTCCTTATCTCCTAGGAAAAGGAGAAATCTGCTAATTTGCTCTGCTTGACCTTTATATATAAATCTTTTCTGATGAATAAACTGTTATAATATCTTCTGAGGGAAGATCTCTTCCATGTGCATTGACGAAAAATTTCATCCAGTCAACTATTAAGCTAAGAGCTCTTTAAGTACTCTTTATCCCACTACCTATTAGGTACTGTTTACTGAATGATGTAAGTAAATAATGTCAGTAATGAAGCTGAAACTCCAATACTTTGACCACCTGATGCGAAGAACTGACTCATTAGAAAAGACCCTGATGCTAAGAAAGATTGAGGGCAGGAGAAGAAGAGGCGACAGAGGATGAGATGGCTAGATGGCATCACTGACTCAATGGAGATAAGTTTGAGCAAACATCTGGGAGATGATGAAAGACAGGGAAGTCTGGTGTGTTGCAGTTCATGAGGATGCAAAGAGTCGGACATGACTTAGTGACTGAACAACACATAATATTGAGACAAACAAAACATTATTGATATTTCATTTATGCGAACTAATAATAGACTTCCCTCATTTTCCTGCATATTCCACAGTGCAAATGTAAATGTTGGCAAATTCTGTTTTATCTATAAATTTCTTACAAAATGAAAAAACCCCACCTGTTCGATGTCTAACATACCTTGTATATAACACTGATAAGGTGGGTGTGCTTTGCCTTCCTGTGACATTGAGGCTTTGTAATGACAGTTTTGGTCACTCTTCAGTTTCCCAAAATGCACAGAGGCAATTCATGAGATTTTGGACTGTGAAAAAATGGAAAACTAGTTCCTTAGACATGTGCCCCCAAGCAGGTGTCAGTGCTGTCAACCGAAGGAAAGATATAAAAATATTGGTCTGCTGTCAAATCAGCAGATTTTCCACTTTACTTTTTAGAATATGGGTCAAAAGTGTGTCTTCCTATAATTTGGAAATACATTGAGGATAAAAACCAAAAAGGGTTACAAACCAAAATGTATTTGCTGTTTTTCTAAAACTGCTTGATGATCTTTGAAGGGACACAAGAGTCTTTAATAAACATGAGTTGATTGTACCCGGCTGTTCAGTGCTGTGTGGGCTGCAACCAAAATTCATACAGGGAAAAAAACCCCCAAAAACCAAAAAAGGCTGATTTCTTTGGAAACAATATTGCTTCAAAAATCAAAGTGAAGTCACCAGGAGAAGACAATCAAGTTAAACAGGGATTTCTTGGGAGTTTCCCAGTGGTCCATTGGTAAAGAATCCGCCTTCCAGTGCAGGGGATATGGGTTCAATCGTTGGTCACGAACTAAGATCCCACACTGTTGTTGTTGTTCAACCACTAAGTCCTGTCTGACTCTTTCTGAGTCCATGGACTGCAGCATGCCAGATTCTTCTGTCCTTCACTGTTCCCTGGAGTTTGCTCAAATTCATGTTCATTGAGTCTGTGATGCTATTTAGTCTTCTTATCCTCTCCCACCCTCTTCTCCTCCTGCTTTCAACTTTTCCCAGCATCAGGGTCTTTTCCAATGAGTCAGCTTTTCACATCAGGTGGCAAGAGTATTGGAGCTTCAGCTTCGACATCAGTCCTTCCAATGACATTTCAGCATTGATTTCCTTCAGGATTGACTGGTTTGATCTCCTTTTTGTCCAAGGGACTCTCAAGAGTCTTCTCTAGCACCACAATTCAAAAGCATCAATTTTTCAGTGCTCAGCCTTTTTTATGGTCCAACTCTCACATCTCTGACATGACTACTGGAAAAACCATAGCTTTGACTATATGGACCTTTGTCAGCCAAGTGATGTCTCTGTTTTTTAACATGCTGTCTAGGTTTGTCATAACTTTCTTTCCAAGGAACAAGTGTCCTTTAATTTCCTGGTTGTGCTCATCATCCACCGTGATTTTGTAGGCCAAGAAAATAGAATCTGTTACATGTTTTCCCTTTCTGTTTGCCTTG